AAAAAAAAAATAAAATAAAACTAGAATATATGGGGGGGGGGGGGGGCAGCCAGCTGAGCGGTGACACTAGGCCGGTCTGTCTCATGTCGATCGGGAAAGGAAAAACGTTCTTAATTGTGTTGAACATCATCATCATCATCATTGTTCATCATTCATAGCGTTCATTTTTCGTGTGTGCTTGTGTTGTACTGTCCCACGCGAGAGGGAGACCGGTGTTATTCTAGATCACGGGGGGAAGAGGGGGGTGCTTGAACATGACACTGTGATTGGTGAAGAACGAATTCGAAGCAGATGCCTACAGTAGTGAAGTGTCCGATGGTCGCTTGCCAGAGACTGAAGTAGCTGCTGAGAAATGCGCCTCGCGCCCAATGGTGGTGGGAAATATTTGGTCTGACCCAGCTCACGTGCCCCCCCAACCCCAAAAACTCGTCGACACGTCACGGTATCGCAGGTGTACTTGCAGATAATGAAGCAGCTGACGAGCAACCCTAAGCCGGACAGCACTGCCAAGGGCTGGCAGGTGATGTGCATGGGGTGCAGCACGTTCCTCCCGAGCATGGACTTCGAGAACTACCTGCTCAACTTCATCCTCGAGAAGTGCCAAATAGAGGGAGCGGAGGTGCGTGTTGGGGCGCGAGGGAGCGAAAAAGTTGACACTCAGCCTGTTGTGGCGAAAGTGGATTGTTGTTGATGATTGTGATGAAGATTGTTGTGGTTGCCTTTGGACATATTGTCGTGGTGTTGGTGATGCTCTCCCGTTGGGGGGGGGGGAGATCCCGACAGTTCAATCATGTTCCAATTCACATGCTGCTGCGCGCGGTGGTATCACAGCACGAGTGCGCACGTCGGAAGACATCGAGTCGTCTGAGGTTGAGAGATCGAAGCACACCTCCTTTTTGGTTGATGAAAACGGCCGACATCTCACACACACCCTTTCGTCTCCCTCACCCCGTGCATCACTTTACACGACGACTACCATCCGAAAACCCTAGACCTATTCCTGCAAGCGTGTCGTGTGTCTTGTGCGCGTGCAGCGCGAAGCGCTGCCTGCTGCCTTCCAAACCCCCAACCTAGTACTACACTTGCGTGCGCCGTGCGTATCCTGTAAGTTTGGCGAGAAACGCGAAGTTTTGTTCACCTTCCCCCCAACCTAGTCCTACAAATACACTTGCGTGCGTCTTGTGTACGCGAACCACTATCCTAATCCTACACTTGGCGTGCGCCACGCGCCCTTGTTCCTGTACAGACGTGCTTTCCTGCCTGCTGCCCTTCCAACCCCCCCATCCTAATCCTACGTTTGCATACGCATTTTACGCCGTGCGCGTCCCTGCAACCCATTGTGCCATAGGCGTGCTACGCCAAGTACTGCCTGCACACCTTGGAAGGCATGATGTCTTCCCGAACCAACGAGGGTATCGTGCCCACGCTCGAGGAGATCCAGGCGTATAAGGAGCGCCCGCCCATCCTCGCGACGATCGAGCTGGTGAACGGAGCTCTGCTCACCGAGGACCTCCCGGTGGCCCCCGACCTGAACGTCAAGAAGGTGGGCGTGGATGGGGGTGTCGTGTGTGGGTTTTGAGGGCGTCGGTATGGCCAGGAACGTTGTTGTTTTGGGGGCGGGGATGCTTGTACAGTAGTCGCAGAAAGACTGCCCGTGGAGGTATGATTTTTTGGGAACACGACAGCCATACAGCGCGATTTTTGGCCCTTTTTTTTTGGGGGGGGGGGGGGGGGAGGAGGGAAAGGAACAAAACCCAATGTTTGAAATGTTTGGTTCTACGGACTGAAACGAGGCGAGGCGAGCGAGCGATAGCCAAAACAAATGGCCCTATAAAATTGTTGGGTTGGCTGTTTTGGTGGTATTTTTACTGCTGCAGCCTTTTTCTTTCTTTTTTCTTTCGCTTGTTCTCCCTCTCGGTTATAGTTACCCTCGAGTTTGCTCCACACTCGCGTGCGGCGTTGTTGCGATATAGCGCAAAAATGGCTTGAAGAGGGTTGGTCGGCTGTTTCGATGGTACAACCTTCTGTAGCGTCTCCTTTCTTTTTTCGATATTTTTTCTCTTTCGAGTCCCCCTCGAGTTTTCGCTCCACAATCATATGCACGGCGTTGTTGCTTCCCGCCTGCAACGACGACTCGAGCAGGTGTTGGAGATCTGTGCGCACTTCGGCGGCCTCCAGGCCGCGAGAACGGAGATGATGGGGCTCTTCGTCTACGACCTCGGTCCGATCGACGAGGAGAAGGTGATGAGACACCAGACACGAATGAGTAGCTGATGCTGATGCGATGGTGATCGGTGTGAGAGGAGAGAGGAAGAGAGGGGGGGGGGGGTCAGAGGGAGAGGGAGAGGGAGACACACAGAACGAGACGTACACTGAGCGCGGTTAGACTGGACAAATCGGGTTGTTTTGTATGTTCTGCTGCAGGAGTGGATTGTACAACCCTATTCAGTACGCTGAGAAATCGGCGTGTTTCGTGCTTGTGTATGTATGTATGTATGTATGTGTGTGTTTGGTGCAGGAGTCGAGCAACCTGCTCCCCTTCACGCCGTCGCCGCTTCGGAACGAGGACTACATGGGCGACGTCTTCATCCGCAAGGCCAGGCAAAGACGAGACTTCAAGTTCGTCTACAAGAGAAAGATTTTCCTGCACTCGCACCCGTGGCCCAGCCAAGATCCGGCCTTCAACCGGCTAGTCTACCTGCAGGTGCGTGGTGATAGTGCGGCACCCCCACCACCACCACCACCGCATTCTAAATACGTCGTTTGTTTGGAATTTTATAGTCTCAAATCTCGTGTATTGAGTTGTGGCAATGCTCTCCACAACATGTTTCTCGTTGGTGCTGTCGATACATGTGCCAGAGGTTCGTTTGTGTGGCTGGGTGCTGAGTAGGCGGGGGGGGGCACGCCGACGATATTCAAGCGGCGAGGGTGTTCCCACCCCTGTGCGCCGTCATTGTGCCCCAAGTGTTCACGTTGGGCGCCGAGTGCCGTGTTTGCTTGCGGTTGTTCGCCGATGATAACTCATGTTTTTTTTTTTTGCTCTCATGTTGTTGTTGTTGCTGTCACTCTGTCTACACAGGCGGAAGACGACGTGATTCGATCTGGTATCTTGGAAATCACCGACAAGCAGTCGGTCGTCCTGCTGTCGGCGATCGCGATGGCCATGGACCTCCAGGAGGATGCCGCCCCAACGGATAAGAACGCTCTCGCCATGGAGGTGCGATGGATGGCGCCTTGCTACCCTTGCAGTACTTGCAACAGTAGCCGTGCCTGCCGAACGTCCAACGTTTGGTTAAGCGAGATGCCCAATCAAACCCGTGGCATATCTGGGTATGCCGGTCGCCCCGGTGGTCTAGTTGGTAGCCTCGTAACCTTCTAGAGATCAGGTCAGGGGTTCGAATCCCGGCGTAGGCGAGCTTTTCTTGCGAAGGAGTTTTTCTCTCGCTTCCGCTCCTGGCCAAGTGGATAGCGCTAGTTCGTGTGTACACAGAGGGAAGAGAGTGCTGAACTCTTCTTGCATTAAAAATTGAAGGCGAAGTACCGCAGGAGGGGAGGGTAGAGAGAGGCTCTTCTGTGTGTCCACGGGTTGGAATAAACGGCACTAGTGCTGTGAGCGCTGATTTGAAGTGAAGAAAAAAAAAAATCTGACTTGGTTCAGCGAACTCAAGCATGATGACTTTTTAGCTTCTGGTTCATCTTAGGACTATACATGTAGCCTGGGCCGGCGAAAACCCGGCATGTCGCTGCTCCGTCCCGGCATGGCAGGGATGCGAGGTCAATGGTCTAGATTACCGACTACGGCATCCGTTTACATGAGTACCTCTCACCCCCCTCGAGTGAAGACTTGGAAGCATGGCGAGGCGCGAACCATCGACATTCATTTTGGTGGCGTCGTGTACGGAAGGGGGGGGGCGTCCCAGTGGTAGATCCCATCCGCCGGCATCCGTTATACGTATATCCGAAAAGCAAACGAAAATCTCGGCGTTTTGTTTGTTTTGTTGCCTCAAACGGGACAACGGCAGGTGGGGAGGTACATTCCGCCGGCATGGCTGCAGCACACGGAGGTGGCGGAGTGGGCCGGAGAGGTGGAGAAGCTGTGGCCAGACCTCATCAGCAAGGACCTTCAGGCAAGCCTTGTCTTGTCTTGTCGTCGTCTCTCCTTCCTCTCTTTGGCGTTTAGTTGTGCCCCATCCTCTCTTTGCTATTGCTGATCCCGCCCTTACAACGCGCGTTTTGGTGTGTGTGTGTGTTTTTTTTTATTATCTCGGCGTCTTTTCCGTCGTTCGTGACCCACCCTCTATCCTCTCTTCGAAACTCGAGTCGTCCCCATCTCCCGTTCTCAACAAACAAGTTTTTTTTTTTTTCAAGTTCTCTAGTCCAAAATATTTGCCCAGTTGAGGCGGGTGCCATTCCGCGGGTTATACCCCCGTTGAGTACCACGGGTCTGCCCCGGTAGGTACCACGGGATACCACGGAACACAGATGCCTGTTTTAATTGACTACACTCCGGGTTGTTGTAGCCCCGTTGAGTACGACGGGACTGCCCCGGTAGATACCACGGAATACCACGGAACACAGATGCCCGGTGTAACTACTCCGGGTTGTTGTAGCCCGGGTGAGTCCGAAGGGACACAACTCCTGTATGCAACCGACCTCTCACTGACGAAAATTTACGGCACGCCATTTTTTTTTACAGGAGCCAAAGACGTGTCTCACGTTATTACCATAGCCCCATGGCAACGTCATTGCGTACCTTACCCTCTCTTAGAGTAATTTTTTGCATGAACCGTTATCGTTCCCCCCCTCCAGGAGCTAGAGATCCTGTTCGTGGAGCAGTGCAGAGACCGGCCCATGTACGGAAGCCACTTCTTCTACAGCCTCAAGGTGCAGTGCGTGCCCGACCTGTTGTCCAACCTGCCCAACAACCTCCTGCTGGCCTTCAACGCCGACGGCATGCACATCTTCAGCGTGGACAAGAAGGAGCTGCTGCAGCAGTACAGCTACGCGGACGTGCACTCTTGGAGGGGCACCCGACGTCAGGTGGGATTTGCTAAATGGTGTTTTTTTGTTGTTGTTGTTGTTAGCATCGACCGCGCTACAGCTTCCGGCTGACCGTGAAAGGAACGTCAGTCTTGTAGCGGGATAAAACACGGGCGTGTGTCTTGGTGTGTCTTTTGTTTTTCGGCAGCGACCGCGCTACATAACCGGCTGACCAATGAAAGACGTCAGTATCGGTGCTGTTGAAATGATAAATGCTTCTGAGAGGCCTGACCTGGACCCCGTGAGCGGGCGTCATAGGGGAGGCGAAGCTACTCTCCGATTGAAAGACAGGAAAGGTAGCACCAGATCAAAGCTTGCGCGTGTCTACCGTGTCCGTGTGCGGCGGGCGTGTTTGCTTTTGGCATCGACCGAGCGACTGCTGCAGCCTGCTGACCAATGAAAAGACGCCAGTCGCCGTACGGCCAATGGCCATCATCTGGTGCTCTGTGCGGGGTGGGGGTCACAGGGCAGTCGAGGCTATTGCTCTCCAGAGTGAGCACAGAAGCGGTAGGTATAGTAGCAGAACAAGAGAAGGGCCAAGTATTTGGCGTGCGTATCTATTGTATTAGGCCGGTTTTTCTTGTCGATCGATGGTCCTGAAACTGACCCCCTCCCCCCCCCCTCTCGCCGGCCTTTTGGAAACCCAACAACGCGCACCGGTTGGACATTCGCAGGTGAGCCTGACCATTTGGGACCAGGACACGGACTCCGTTTTCGAGCTGGCCCTCAAAACGCAGCAGGCGTCGGACATGGCGTCCATCATCCTCGACCACATCAACGCTATCATGGCCAACGCGGGCCGGAATTAAATAAACTAATGTCACGGAAGGTGGGAGGGGGGGGTCATCTGATTACCTTTTATGTCTGCATGGTTTACTGGAGTGTTGCGCCATATACTAGCTGCTACCACATCATCCTTTCCTACATGAACAAATGCTTGTGGGTGCTTGATTTTGGTATGGATTTCGGCAGTGGTATACATAGAGGTGGTCGTTAGGACGCTGAGCCCCGGACTGACTTGTACGATATTTCAAGCGGAGGTATTTCATCTCAAAAGGAGAACGAAAGTGACGCGGGGAATGCCACGGCAATGGACGAGGAGGGGGGGGGGGGCTCCCCCGGTCGTAGCTATCCGTCGCCATGCGCTGGTATTTCTTGTTTGTGTGAGTGCGTGCTAGCTTCGCTCGTGCATACTAAATGTTTGTTCCTTTTTCCACAGCGTGTGGGTTGACGAGGCGAAACAAGTCGGGGGCTCCCATGTGTGCCCGCGCGGGGGGGGGGGGTCATCCTTTTGGGGGAAACGGGCCCCCCCCCCCTGTAGGGCATTTTCCCCTTGTCCGGGGGAACAAGGGGGGGGTTGGGGGGTTAAAAAACCCCAAGGGCCCGGTCCCCTTTATGGCCCCCTTTCGGGGGTTTAGGGAAGGGGGGGAAATTTCCCGAAACGAAAAAGGTTTTTTCTTGTTTAAAGTAAAAA